GTCTCTGCTTTTCACGATGCTGTCCAGATTTGTCATCGCTTTCCTCCCAAGAAGAAGGCGTCTTTTAATTTCAGGGCTGCTGTCTCCATCTGCAGTGATCATGGAGCCCAGGAAGATAAAATTTGACACTGCCTCCATATCTTCCCCTTCTATTTCCCAGGAGGTGATGGGACCAGTGGCCATGATCTTAGTTTTTTTGATGTTGAGTTTCAGACCGTTTTTTGCACTCTCCTCTTTCACTCTCATTACAAGGTTCTTTAATTCCTCCTCACTTTCTGCCATCAGAGTGGTATCATCTGCATATCGGAGGTTGTTGATATTTCTTCCGGCAATCTTAATTCCGGCTTGGGTTTCTTCCAGTCCAGCCTTCCGCATGATGTATTCTGCATATAAGTTAAATAAGCTGGGGGACAATATACAGCCTTGCCGTACTCCTTTCCCAATTTTGAACCACTCAGTTGTTCCATGACCAGTTCTAACTGTTGCTTCCTGTCCCACATACAGATTTCTCAGGAGATATATAAAGTGGTCAGGCACTCCCATTTCTTTAAGACCTTGCCATAGTTTGTTGTGGTCCACACAGTCAAAGGCTTTCGCCTAGTCAATGAAGCAGAAGTAGATATTTTTCTGGAGCTCTCTGGCTTTCTCCATAATCCAGCGCAAGTTAGCAATTTGGTCTCGAGTTCCTCTGCCTCTTCGGAATCCTGCTTGTACTTCTGGGAGTTCTCGGTCCACATACTGCTGAAGCCTACCTTGGAGGATTTTGAGCATAACCTTGCTAGCGTGCGAAATGAGTGCAATTGTACGGTAGTTGGAGCATTCTTTGGCACTGCCTTTCTTTGGGATTGGGATGTAGACTGATCTTTTCCAATCCTCTGGCCACTGTTGAGGTTTCTTCCTAAATGGGCCTAATTAGTGAGAGACCCATTAATTATTGCAGTGGCACATTCCGTTGTTACAGGCCTGGCTGCTTTGATTAGCCAGGCCAAGCAAGGGTTAAGGGAGGAGGTGGTGGCCCGACAGCGATCAAGTGCATTGTCCACCAAATCTGGTGTCACAGGATGAAAGAAATCAATAATCACCTGGCAAGGCGGAGCGCTGGACATCTGTGCTCAATCCACTGTACTTAAAAAAAGACTGATCTTTTCCAATCCTCTGGCCACTGCTGAGTTTTCCAAACTTGCTGGCATATTGAGTGTAGCACCTTAACAGCATCATCTTTGAAGATTTTAAATAACTTGACTGGAATGCCATCATCTCCACTAGCCCTGTTGTTAGCCATGCTTTCTAAGGCCCTCTTGATTTCAGTCTTCAGGACGTCTGGCTCAAGATCAACAACCACACTATCTGGGTTGTCCTGGACATCAAGATCTTTCTGGTATAATTCCTCTGTGTATTTTTGCCACCTCTTCTTGATGTCTTCTGCTTCTTTTAGGTCCCTACCATTTTTGTCCTTTATCATGTCCATCTTTGCACAAAATGTTCCTTTAATATCTCCAATTTTCTTGAACAGATCTCTGGTTTTTCCCTTTCTATTATTTTCCTCTATATCTTTGCACTGTTCATTTAAGAAGGCCCTCTTGTCTCTCCTTGCTATTCTTTGGAAGTCTGCGTTCAATTTTCGGTAACTTTCCCTGTCTCCCTATATATATAATTTATACCATTACCTCTAGATTATTCTTGGAAATGCTTTAAAAGCTTTAGATTCTCTACAACTAATGTTGGTTAAATGCATAGGTGGAGACTGGCTGGAGAAGTACGGAACATAGGACTTCTTTATGGATGATATGTTCCTTGCCGTGCTACGGCTTGTCCCCATCAACAGAAGAGGACATCTTGGACTTTTTTGTCCAGTCCCATGTTCTCCTGCTGAATAAGAGAAATGCAGAAACTGTAAAACACCTTTTCCTGAATGGATTACTTTAGAAATGCTTACACTTTTCTGCCCTTTGCACCAATAAAGGTGCATAAGTGTAAATGAGGGTTACATCACATGGTTCCCAATGACCGACTTACTGAATTTAAGTCTTAAAACACTGGATGATGCAGCAGAGGTGTGATGGCTGTTGAAAGTAAAAGGTTGGGAGGATTTCTTTTGGCTTTGTTTTGGTTTTTCTTTTTGATACAGCAGAGGAAAAGAAAGAATCACTGTCACAGTAGGAATTTATTTTTCAGAAAGAACATGATTGTGACTTGATTTTATGCAAAACATGACATATCTTCCTGGTAACTGTTACTCTGATGCTTCTGTGTGCTTTTTATTTTTGGCCTTCAACCATTGCTATTGTGCCAATGCACTCATTATAAAAGCTATTTTTTTTTATTTTGTATCTGTAGAGATTGATGAATGCAGATCTGCTCCATGCAAGAATGGTGGGACCTGCAAAGATTTCCCTGCATCCTTTAAGTGCCATTGCCCAGAAGGTTTTGTTGGAACTCAGTGTGAAACGGGTAAATAATGAATTCATGACTACCCTTCCTTGGATTTCCAGGATTCTTTCTTCCAGCAGTTACAATGTCTTTAAGATATCCTAAGACTTGTTGTTATCGTTGCTGGAACTGATTAACATAGATCCCCACCTTGAAACTAGAATCTCCGTCAAGTTACTTGGTCCTCTTTATTGATTCATCTTTCCTTTTGCTTACAAGTTACTAGTGTTGTTTAGGGACATAGAAAGTTTTCTTATATTAGGTCAGGTCACTGATCTATCTGGCCCATTACCATCATTACTGATGGCAATCAGTTCCTCCTGCACTTCAGGCAAGTATTTTTCACTCATGTCTGGAGATAGTGGGGACTGAACCTGGGACCTAATATGGAATTCACATGTATTCTGCTCCTGATCAGCCTCTCGTGGTAGATCAAGCGCAAGCCATATAATTTTGCATATCTTGAAATGTGACAACTGTCTTTTGTGAAGGTACGGGTCTCACAACCTACATGGTCATAGCAATGGTAAAATAGATGTTGTAACTTCTCTAATCTCTTGAACCTATGTTGAAGACATCTGCCTAGAGAGATTTGGATGGCATTGTGCTATGAAGCAACCATGTAATTTTCTTGCTCTGGGACCAAATTACCTGTAATTTCTCACACTGAGTCATTGCGGTACCAGATTTCCATATATTAGTAAAGAAGCCATTGTCACAGGGCCACTAACTTCATACAATCCAATTCATCTTGTTTGATGAAGTTTTAAGCATCAGTGTCTGATACTGTCCAAGCACCTTCTCATTTTCAGCAACCCTTTCTTCCCACATATTTCACCTAATACCTCCTTCCTCCATCACCAAAGCTTTTGATTCTGTCAGCGTAAATATCTCCAAACTTCCAAATGAATATGTCTGCGAAAAATTCCCTTTAAACAATTTATTTCAGCAGCTGAATGTGGATTTGTTCTCAGTAAATTTGGCATTGCATGTTGATCAGGGATGTTTATATGGGCATATTTAGCAAGAGAGAGATTCCTTTTTTTTTCCCCTCCAAAATCTAGAGGGGCCAGTAACCTGGAGGCCAGTGGTTCAGGTGCCACAAGCAGTGGGCATCCTACAGTTGGGTGGGATGCAGGAAGTATGCCATCATCTATCCTAATTTTAATTCACTGCTTTCTTTTTCACTGGGGAGATAGATGTGGGAAAACATGGATGGCCCTAGGGAGGGTTTTCACTGCACTGCAGAACAACAGGCTCCTTTGCAAAGGGATTCTCTACCAGATGCAGAATCATCTTCTTAATTCGTGTGACACCTCCTACAGATATCTGAGTGAGTGTATTTGTGCCCTTCAGAAGTGGATGCCTGTGATTCAAACCCCTGTCGGAATGGAGGAGATTGTGAAAATTACAGTGGTTCCTATCTGTGTGTCTGTCCAGAGGGTTTCTTTGGCTACCATTGTGAAATAGGTAAGCTGAGATGAAAGGGGAAGGCACCTAGTAAATTCAGAAGTCCTCATTAGTCTTTTTGGGAAATGTTGGTACAATAAATAAGTACATAAATGATTTGATGGAAGAAGTTTGATCATCCCCTGACAAATATCCATGTTTTCCTAGAGAGGCCTGTGTCGCCTTTAAGAAGTGCTGTTTTGAACTGTTCATTGTGCACATCTTCCCCAGCTAGTGACTCTTGTTTCTCCAACCCCTGTGGGAGCAGAGGCTACTGTCTGCCCAGTAATGGATCTCATATCTGCACCTGCAAAGTGGGCTATACTGGCAAGAACTGTGAGAAAGGTAACTAGACCAAAAAGCCACTCCCATCATTGTCTAGAATAGAGTTGCTTTTAATCCATGCTGGTCTCCAAAAATAGTAGATGCATAAGAGGCAATAAAATGCTGTGCTTTCCTCTCTCTTTTTCCTTTCCTCTACTCACTTGGGAGATGCAAAATCTCCTCATAATGTACAGATCGCAGTTTATAAATGGAGCCTCAGTAGTTAAGCTATAGCCAAATAGAGTATGTGTTAAATAAGACTTTTATTGTTGCAGCGAGTCATCTCAGTGTTATGGGCTCTTGACTTGATGATTCCTTCTTAGGACCCACTTTCCTCAAGGAACAGCCTTATGAGAAAGGAGAACTGTTCTAATCTTAGATGTGTCCATTCAATTAATTTAGTCCCTTTCACTCCATGAACATAAATTAAAATAAGCTAGGTCCCCATAACCGGATATTCAAGATAAAGTGTTTATAGTACTTCTTGTAACATTGAATTACTTACTGGTACTTGCTTAACTGAACTGAATCTGAAGTAATATAATACACTTCCAAGAGTGAGTACTAGATCTGTGGAAATCAGACTAATGAACTCATTGGAGAAGATGGTGCCCAGAATCTTGCAACAACCCAGCAAAGGCAGTGTACAAATGTTTATCTGAACCAAAGAGCCCATTTCCACAGACTCTGATGAAATCTGTGATTTGGATGCTCTTTAGAAGTATCTGTATTCAAAATGGCCTGAATCATGTGATTCTTCTCCATAAAGATATAAAAATGAATTTAGAGAGGGAGGGAGGGAGAGAGGATACATTCTGGTTTTCTATGCCTATGACCACTTATGCAGAGAGTCTACATTATCTTATGAGTGTGAAGAACGCAAGCGTTTTCCTGTTCTGAGGGAAGTTGTTTGGCCCAGATGAGCATCTGAGGCAGGCCTGAGAAGCACACGCTGCTTTGAGGGAGGTTTCTATTATTTCAAGCTTTGAGGGGGGAAAAAACGTAAAAGGAACAATTTGTACATTTTAGATACCTGCCATGTACTGCATCTTTTATAATACCACTGCTTCCTGGATGCTTCTTATAGGAGAGCTTTATTAATGGAGTGAGAGAAAGAGTTATTTGACATGACAGCTAATTGTATGTCCTCTGTCTTCTTGTTTGCATTGCCACCCTGAAGAGCTGCTGCCACCAACCTCATTAAAGGTGGACAAGGTGGAGGAGACTGGGCTGTCAATCTCTTGGCGCCCTCCCAAGGACCCGGCTGCCAGGCATATGATTGACGGCTACGCCGTGACGTACGTATCCTTCGACGGCTCTTACCGCTGGACTGATTATGTGGACCGAAGCCGTGCTGCCCACCATTTGCGGGCACTAGCCTCCGGCAAAGCCTACAATATTTCTGTCTTTTCAGTCAAACGCAAATCGAACAACAAGAATGATATCAGCAGGCCCGTCATGCTCGTCACTCGTACTAGTGAGTAGCTCCTTCAGGGAACATAGAGTTGGGGGTTCAGAAATGCCTGGCTGTAGGAAAGAGGAAATCATGTTAGCAGGGATCTTTCAGACTCATAGAAGCACACAGCAGATTTCCCTAGTGAATAGGAGAACCACAGCACACCCAGTCTTTTATTCACAGTGGGAAATTCTTCAACTCCAGTCCAGGGCCACTCATTGTCACATCACAAGTTAAGCTTTTATAAGCATGTCACAAGAACATTGGCCTGAAGTCAGTGAAAATGAACCAAGTAATGCAGGAAAATTACAGCCCAAAGAAAAGTGCTCCATGGATCTCCCCTTGTTTTCAAAATGCTTATTCCATTGCCACAATGATCATTAAAAATTGATGTTGCTATAAGTATTTTGTAGTGGAAATCTAAGTGTGTAGGAGAGTTGCTACTTGGTCACCCAAAGAATGTTGTGAAAGAGAATTTTGTTTCTCCTTAGTTGCATTCAAGTGATGGAGGTCAGAAGGGAGTTAATCTGTTTGGGTGTTTAAGCAATGTTTAAGATGCCCCCAAGGAGGTATTAATGTGCTTGTTCCATGACAACATACCATACCATACCTTGGTTTCCTTAACACATAAACAAATACCCTGTAAAAACTAAATGGGAAGCCATGGGACCATCACTGTGAATAACACAGTAGTGGCTTCTGGACAGTATCGGCTATTCTTTCAGATTATAATTTTTAAAATTTTTAAAAGGAGACAGAAAATATTGTGGAACTTACAACGCTTCTATAAGCAATAGTAGATCAATGACTCTTTCCTTTGACAGTGATGTTTATTTGAAATGTTTTTGCTCTGGGTCCTGACGTGGGTGTAGGTGAGGAACTGCCACCAGTCAAAGGATAATAACTGTGTTTCTTTTAAGTGGTGAGACAAAATGATGCAAGCAAAATGATAAATGACCTTGGGAGGCATCTGCCTCTGCCCCAAGCTTGTGACATGATGTACAAGGATACGTTCAGTAAAGCTGGAAGACAGAGAAATGTAACAGTTTTTGCATTGGTTAGTGAGAGTGCTTTGAGAATGCTGGAAATAATTAACTTTTTTCTAGATGAGGATGGAGAAGTATTCCTTCACCAGTGTCATGAAGTGGTTGAATCACAAGTGAGCCATTCTGGGGATAGATTTATTGCACAAATATCTGTTATTATTTTGCTGTGAAACTGTTGGTGCTGTTCATTGTTCAAAAGAGCCGGTTATATACATTGCTCTCATCTCTTCTCCTAAGTGTTTAGTATTGTACTGTGTTTTGTGCCTTTCTGCCAGGGCAGGAGGCCTTAGTATCAAGTACATCAACGTGAAAGCAAAGCATGCTTTTATCAGAGGCACTGGAGAAAGCAGAAGCCAAAACACTTTGCTTAAATACTTCTGTTTCTTAATTATGCGGGTGGGTGTACACAACCACTGGCTAAGGAATTCTGGAATTTGTGGTCCACAAAAGTAAAATTTCCAAGGTCTGAAATATTTTGTGAGCTGTTGAAGGACCAAAGAGCTATTCAAAACAAATAGTTATTCTTTGCCATAAATATTCATTCACCATCCAATCGATTGCTCCATTGACACAGAATCTAATATGGATGCTGTAAGAGGGGTTTTGCTGTCAGTTTGTTCCTAATGGCTCCCACATGTATTGATTCAAGTAGCATTTCCATAAGGGTGCTTCCTAAAGTGTCAGCTGTGCCATTTTGACATATTTAAGTGCATGTCTTCCATACTGATGTACATGCTAGTTGTTGCTCATTCAAAAGGCAGGAACTAGGAGGGTCAGCCCCACTGATTGAAATACCCTGTGACCAGATATGTGTAGGAGGCACTGTTGCAGATGCATAACCTCCCTTCCTCTGTGGGATTACACTTTGGGAAAGACAGGCCTGCCCATAGCTTCCCATTCTCAGTAGTATTGAGGCACTTGGGAAGTATCAGTAAGTCAGCTGTGCTTGATTAAATAAATATGAATGAATGAATGAATGAATATTCATAGAAACAGCTTGCAATTTGTCATGTATAAGCTGCATAATGTTCTTTGGTTCATATCTAACAACCCTACTAGACTCCAACACCACTTTGAGATTGCACACAAGTAGCAAGGCAACAATAGTATGTTGAAGACGTTGAACAATAATGTCTCTTCCCAGAGCATACCTTGGAGCCTGGGTCTTTTCTGTGGGCTTTAATACACAGAAGAACAAAATGCTTTCTTCAAGAGCCAGACATGTCTACGGAGGTCCAGAAGTTCCTATACGCTTTACACTCAGTATGTTGGGGGGGTGATTTTGTCGCAGAAGTCCTGTCCAAAGCCCAGAATGACATTTCTCTTCCATAGGAAACTACTGAAATGAGAAGGAGGCCTCCAGCAAGGCAATGCTCACCCAAGCCAATCGAGTGAGTGTGTCACTGTCAACTGTGGTGAGTCGTAACCACCTCCTGCATTTCCCCTCTCTCATCCTGCCAGGACCTCACCCAGTAGAGGGATTTGACATTGCCAATGTGACTGCCACAACCATTACTGTGCAATGGGCTCTCCACAGGCTCAAGCACGCCACAGTCAGCAAAGTGCGTGTGTCCATACGGCAGCCAGATGATGTGGAGGATCGTGCTGTTGAGCTGAACAATACTGCAACCAAGTACACATTTTGGTGAGCAAAAAGCAAAATATTTGCAGTGAATGACAGGCAGGGAGTTATGGTGAATAAATGGATGGTAAAAATAGCTGAGACTACAGGCTGTCAGTTAGGCGGTCAGTGGTATTAGGGAGAGTCTGTGGTTTGAATAAGACAATACGTTTATCACATCTTTTGCAGAAGTGTTCTCTCAGGTGGCAAAAGACATCTATGTATCATTAAACATGAATTTTCCTGACATGTCTTCGATTTAATGGGACATGGGCTATACTTGCAAGTTATCACAAAGGCATATTAAAGACAGTGTCATGCAGTGGGTAGAGTATCAGACTAGGACTCAGGAGATCTGTGTTCAACTCCTTACTTAGCCAGTGGTAAAACCACTCAAATATCTCACATACCTTGAGTTGCAGCAGTGGTAGAACAACTCAAATATCTCGCATACCTTGAAAACCCAATTAGGGGCTTCATAAGTTAGATAAAGTTTGAGAGCACATGAAAACAGGAAAAGCAATCCCATTGCAGGGAGGGAAATGGGAGTAGCAGAGAACAGACCAAATTTGGAACTCCTAGCCCAAATAACTGCACTTTCTGCACTCCCGTATTCTCTTAATATAGGAATTACAGTCTGGCAGCTCCTTTATCAAGAATGTACCCTTTAAACAATCTCCACAATTTATGAATAGGTTACTGGAGACTAGAGGATAGGCTTGGCCAGTGAGAGGTGGTAGCAATCAATTTCTGGGAAGCTTTTAATGGATACCCTTGCTCTGGTTAAATTTTGTCCTGTTCATTTCTGCTTAAATATATGTTGAGACTCCTCAAATTAGAAAGAAAACTGAGGCTAGTTTGGATGGGTCACTAAGGAATGTGATTTCAGGTATTTGCCTCATGTGCTCAACAGCCCCTTTTATGTAGTAGATATTTATTCACATTTCTCTGTGAGTGGATGGTTTATGTATGTCTCTGACTCAGCAACGGTCAATAAGGAATAACCTGTTCTTTGTTCCAGAATCATAGCAGCTGACTGAGATTTCCCCTACATGTTTAATCCTTCTCCAACAGGGACCTTCAGCCAGGACAGAAGTATCTTATCCACATGTGGACCTTGAGTGGTCTCAGTACAGAAGACCACCCCACTGAAAGTTTTGCCACAGCACCCATCTACGTCTGGACTCGTGAGTTTAACAGAAAAATCTATTTCCTGCTTCTTCTTTTCTCATTTTTATTACTTATAGACCAGCTAAACCAACAGCTTTGCTTTAAATCCACAGCGTTGTATGCACTACTTGGGCTACTATAATGCATGTTTCTGGGTTGGAATTCAACACTGCAAAACTAGATGCTGAAGAGAAAAAACTGTATAAATCAGCAGTCATGCTTATGAGCTTGGGCATTTCTCCACCAAGTATACATAGCAGAACTCAATTCTCAGCATATTGGCTTAGCAATAAACCCCAATACCATGCATAGTTGTATGCATGGTACCCAATATTTAAGAAACTTCCAGTTTTCTCTGTGATCACTGATCAGAGATGAAAAGATACTTGGTTACAGGATGGGGAATATTGCTCAGAGGATTTCTGAGGGTTAAGTGAGGATTTTATGCTGGATGGTATCTTCTGAGCTCAAGTTCTTTGATTTCTTTATTGATTCCTGTTGAAGATGTAAAGCCACTGTAGGCTTATTTCATGTGCATCATAGCATCATTTAACAATTTAAGAAGGCTAGTGGGTTCTCCCTCCATATCTTAGGTTTCTGTCAGACATTGTGTTGACAGAAACTTAGGGGCATAGACAATTCAAAGCATGAAGTGTGCTCTCCCCTACCCAGATCAGAATAGAACTAAATGTTAACAGTGGGGGTTTGGGAGATTCCAGAAGCTGACATGGGGTTGTGGAGAACAAACAAGAATGCCGCTTCACTAGCCCAAAGAAGGAAAGGAAGCACAGAAGAAGCCTAAGGTTATCCTTATCAGAACACCTGGGCAGAAGTCTCCACATACAGAAAAGTTTGATAAACATCTTTGTGCAGTGGAGAAACAATGTGGGAAAGCTAACTTTTAGGAAAAACTGCAAAGGAACCAGTACATTTTTAAGTTCTGTGTGGGCTAAGTTTCCATCATCTTTAGTAGTTTTGAGACCTAGGATCTTCCAGAGGCGCATGCAACATGCCAGAAAGCCCCAAACTGAAAACTATTAAACCAATTGTAGTCTGAAGTCAATTTCTAATTTTGAAAAAATGGGTATTTGTGGAGTATTAAACAATATTGGGATGGCACTATCATTTATTTTATAAGTAATTTGCACCTCCTGAGGTCTTTCAGGAGCAGCAATACATCATTGTTTTCCTGGGAAAATATTTTGGGAACAGAGGCTGCACGAGAGACCCGGAGAAGTGCATTTTGTCCACATCTGTTTAAAGGAGATCAACTTACAATTTTCTTTTTTCTCTCTCTCTTGAGCAGGGCCTCTTCCTCCTAGAAACCTCACTGCATCCAGAGTCACAGCTACCTCGGTCCAGATGGTCTGGGAGCATCCTCTAGTTGGCTCAGGTGATGGTTACATCATCAATGTCACCACCAGTCAGAGTGTGAAGAGCCGCTACGTGCCCAATGGAAGACTTTCTTCCTACACAGTGCGTGACCTGAACCCAGGTCAAAGATACCGCTTATCTGTGATGGCTGTTCAAAACACAGACCAAGGGCAAATGATAAGTGAGCCTGCCCATCTTTACATTACAGCCTGTAAGTGTACACCATATTGTTCCTGTTTATGAAGCCCCTTTTTTCTTTTGTAGCCTGACGATGCACAAGGAAGGGGCAGCAAGCATTATGAAAGTGAACAAGTATTCTGTGCCTGCACTTGCCATACAGCTTGTATTGATGCATGACTGTTCTCTGTGATGTGGGTGATGTGGCATTTTTTGAGCAGAAGCTGAGAAACCGTGTTTGCTTCTTCCTTTCCTGCGCATTTGATCAATCAGGAAGCAAGCAAGTATAAACGTAGGGAGGCTTTCTCACTATCAGATATCTTTATATTGGAAATATAATCCTTGCAGACTCTTGGAGCACATCGAGACCTTACAGTAGAAGAGACATCATAGGAGCTATTTTGAACATATATTTGGTGCCCAAGGGAAATGTGTTGATCCCAGTTTATAACTGTGAGCCTAAGCAGAGTGAACGTAACCCTGCCCCCAACTTCATTTCCCCAGTGAAAAGTATTCCCCGTGTTGAACTTCTTCCTTGAGAAGATTTTCAATGGGGAAGTGGCATGGAGGGGAGTTTAACACCAAGTTTGTGGCACCAATACTCTCATCTGTCCTGCCCCAACACCTGCTGTTATACGTTTCTTTCTCTTTTTAAAATAGTTGGAAATCTGACTGGTGATAGCGTCCAAAGCAAGTCACAATACATTGGCAGGTTTATTTGGGCGTGGGCAGTCCCTGAAAGATCCAAATCCTAAGCTTTTTATGGCTTTATAAATGGACACTACTGATTTGAACGATGCCTAGGAATAGGCTGGGAGGAATGCTGCTATTTAAACCTTATGTAGCAAGTGGCCTTCACCCAGGCCATTAAATATTATTTTCTCTGGTCTGCAGTACAGAAGGATGGCACCCCAGAAAGACGCTGGAGCCAAACAGGGCATCCTCGTGTGCTGAGAAATCGCCTCCCTCCATCATTCCTGCCAGAATTGCGTCTGCTTGCAGACCACAACACCCCTGAGGAGCCCTCTCTAGCACCCAGGTAAAGAATGGAGCTCGGCTGACAAGCAGAATAAGCACAAATGGTTCATAAAGTGTTGAAGTCTTGATGTTGTGGTTTAGCTGGCATTGCATCACCAGTAAGAACATCCTTGTATGTATGTATGTGTGTGTATATATATATGTATATATATATTCTTTTAAAGATTTACAGAGCTAGTGGATGGCAGAGGGAGGATCACCACTAAATTCAGCAATTCACCAAGCAGAACTGTCACTGTCAGAACACGTAGGTGTCATTCAGCCTCCACATCATTGTTTGCTACTATGGCATAAGTCGTTAGGCTAAGAGATTGTTGCCTGTGTCTTCTAGAACCTGAGGCTCCCACAAAAGTTGAAGAAACTGTAGAAGA